TTACGTATCTAGTTAATTCAGCATGTCTTACGATAGCTAGGTATAATAAAAACATTTTTTGCATTATTTAATTATTTTCGTCTTTCCCGTTCAACAGAACGACTGCTATTTAGCATGTGACTACGTGTGACTAAGTGTTAACTAAAGCAAATAATCATAAAATTAGTGACCAATTATAAGCTACGTCTATATTAGAACCATAACCTAATACGTTTCACCCATATATCCCCAAGCGATCACCGGTGATCGCTCTCCACTAATTACATTATAGACCTTACTTTCAATGTTTAAAGACTACTTTTGTATGAGCAAATTTAGGGGATGATATTCAACAATTTTCAACGGATTAATAAATAAACAAACGGCGGAAGTTACAGTTTCCCTGCATGAAATGAAAAATAAGTCCAATTGACAGATTTAAATAAGTACTATGTAGAGGTATAATTAGAATTCATTGGCACACATTTCTATTTATTAATCAAGAAATGCGATAGATTCATCGACTGAAATTTACGAAAAGTGCATTTGTTTTTGTATCTGTCCCCATACACCAAATTTGATATTTTTGAAAAACCAATCTTATTCTATGTCATGTATAACACAAAATTCTGTAATAAATTTTTGTCGCAAAGAACATCGAGTGAGTGTCATAGGCATATTTTCGTTCTTTGTTTTTACGATTATTTCTCACGTTTTTACGCGTAAATCTTGTCTAATTAACCTAGTATTTTATGAAGGCTGCATATGTTATATACACATGGTTTGGTGAATATATATAAAGACATTTTCAAGAGATATGTTTTATTATATTGGAAAATTTGTAATAAAAAAAATTAGTAATCCATCGTAATTTTAACATTCTAAATATATATATGTAATAACGAGAATTGTTCTTTAAAATCATAAATAAGTTGCTTAGGAAGAATACACCAAAATTAAAAACTTAATTCACTAAAACTAAATAATCATAGCCCAATACAGGAAACTACGTGCCTGCAAAACCTAAATGCACTTTGAACTCAACAAGAAAAATGACCGGATTAGAACGTAAGCAAAAAACAACTTTTTCTGCGAGACAAAAGGTATAATACTCTTTGATGGCGTCATGTCGCTTGTGTCCTTGTGAATTCGTGGGAGTACGAAGGCTTGTGATTGGTGGAGCAAGCGCGGGCTATTCAATTGTAGCTGAGGTATCGGCGCGCGCACACTTTCGCAAAACTTCAGTCAAGTTTTCGCTTTCATCCATTGAGATGATATACGCACGTGTTTAGTATTGTGGCATTAATAAATCAACTGACGAATAATGCTGAGAAGGAAATATTTTCGGTAAAATAATTTATTAAAATAAAATTTATTAATTTTTATTTAAAAACAAATTTATTTGTGACGATTACGAATAAAATTAATAAAATAAAATAAATAAATAAATATGAAATAAAATTGTAATACAGTGTGAACTTTATATAAAATAATTAAAATAAATTTTAATTGCCAGAAGCAATAACAGCAATAAAAGCAATTAAATTTAATGTAATATAATAATTACAATGCATGCTTTCACTTACCTACTTTCATTGTTAACTTTTTTTCTTTTAATTTCAGGTGACAGCTTGCTTGGTGCAAATTGTTACCAGGACAGTCAACCAGTTACAGACTTCATAAAAGTGAAGTGGCAGTGACAAGTGAGAAGTGAGACTGAGACAATAATAATAATTATTATTATTATTTCCTATTAATAGTTCAGTGCCTAAATAATAAGCAAACATGACCGGTTTTGTGAAAATTGCCATAGACGATTACTATTCGGACAGCAATTGGACGACAATCATTAATAAATATTGGATGCTGGCAGAACGAGTGTCAGGTGAGACCAAATTATTTTTTATTAATTTAATACACTCAGACACAAAATTTATTATAAAAAGCCGTGTACGTAATTTTGATGTCGGTAGTAACATCGCGTGTGTGAAAAGGCCAAGACTATATTTTTCTTTAATGTAAATCATTAATGTAAGTCATTTTGTTTAAATTACTATAACAAATAAAATTAACTTTAAAACTAACAAAGAAAAAAAATTAAATGTCCATATTTATCATACATATCGTAAAACCATTAAAGAAAGTTTCAAAGTCAATACCAATATGTTCCAGTTATACTTTCTCGATTTATTGGTCATATGGACGTATAGCCGTAAAATGCACTATATTACTAACTACAAAAAGTTCAACACCGGCTTAACATTTATTATTAACATCATATAAAAATATTAAAATTATATTTTAATAAACTGACATTAGCTATGAAATGCAGCAACTATAGAAAATATAAAATCAATTTTCAATTTAATTTCTCTTAGATTATCCCTTAATTGGTAAATAATAAAAATAGCAATGCAATATACACATTAATAATGTACAACTTAATAAAATATTCAAAATATTAAATTAATCTTACAAAAATTGCAATGAAACAAATAAATCAAATAATTATTTGTCTCATAAGTCATCATTTTTCTACTCAAACAAAGGGACATTTGAATACCAAATAATGCACCATCGGAACTACGCAAGGTCTAAAGCAAAATCATTATGTACAATATTTGTACTTCGTCACGCGAATACCGAGCCTGTCATATTATATAACACTACAACAATTACAGGTACTTCTGAAGCCTTCTTAAGTTATTAAAATTCATTATTTTATACCAGACTATGTATAAAAGGTTTGTACCTCTAGAACATGGTCTTATATTCTGTTCTTTGATCAAATAATATCTTGTTGGATTTTTGCCTTCTGCTATAGTTTTTTTTCTTATTTAAAAAAATTAGCACAATTTGTTGACAGCTACAAATTTTTCTACAAAGCTTTCTAAATCATCACTGCAATTTAAAAAATACATTTTTTTCTGTGAACTATATCGGAGATGGTTGTATAAAAAACAATTAATGACTGGTACAGAAAAATGGTATACTTATTAATAGACATCTCTAACACAAAGAATAAAAATATAACACTTTCCAAAGTAAATCTTCAGTACATATACATATTTATGTCAAACTTCAAAATATCTTAATTGAATACAACTAAGTCTTAACGTCAGATTTTGTACTTAAAAATACAATAATAATAATATAATATATGCAAATTGAGAGTGAAAGAAAATGCAACCTGACTTCCGAAGAAACCGGAATGACCAGTCGAAGTGTGTTAGTCGTAGTACGGTCTCTAGCCAGCGGTTAACCGGTCAGTTACTAGTTTAACTGGTACCGTAAGAATTTGAACGAAAACGAAGATTCTTTGGAGATTTGGTTCAAATATAACTTTAAGATAGAAATTATGTTTGAGTAGTTTGTAACGTGCCATAAAAATATGTACGTGAAACTGTGTTAATATAGGTTCAAATTAAAACCAATTACCCGTTTCTTAAGAACTGTCTGATGATTATAATTTTATAAATCTAGTGGTAATGAATATTTAATGCTAGCTAGTATCCTGCATGTCTGCATTATCAAATAAAAATGTAGCTTTCGTCGTTTGCTGGTCTAGTATCTCCAGACTAAAAAAATCACTCGATCGCGACGCAAAATAAAGTCAAATAATCAAGCATACTTCAGCATTTATAATAACAATATATACATTCATACATATTTAAATTTTTAAGATCATAACCAATGACAAATAGTTTACTTCTTGATAACTCGTGGTAGTAGTTTAAATTATTTAGTACATAAATAAATATTATTGCAATAACTAAGTACACATTATCACCTATCTAAACATCAAAATAAATACAAGACGGAACGAATACTAAAGTTCTTTATCGTCTAAATAAAAAAGTAAACAGCATGAAAAATTCTAGGTTTTCATGTCAATGTCAAACGCAAAGAGAATTCAGTGTTCAATGTCATTATCTAACTTACTAAAGAACTCGTTCGTAATTTTTACGATGCGTGTAAAATGCGTTATATAAAAAACTGAGTTTAACTGTTTTTGTCTAAGTGCTATGAAATACTGTACTTTATTGCGTGTAAATACTAGTATATATAGTGTAAATACTTCTTCTATCGGGTTTGCACGTTTACTGGGTGAATACTATTATAAAACCAAGACAAAATAGGTCAATATGTGTAATTCCAAACTATAAACTAGTTGAATAGTTTTTTTTTTTGTAAAAAGTAACAAGATAGTCAATACATCTTATGTCATCTTAAAAAAAATATCAAACACACTAAAAATATATCTCAAACAGAAAATAGAATAGAAAATAGAACTCACTCGTGTATTTTATAAAATCCAAAACGGGAATTAGTGCTCGTTTTTAATCTCAAAGTGCCAATGTCTATACAATTTCTTTTGGTTTTTCACTCATCATAATAAGTATTCGCGTCTTATATAGAATTATTGTTCTCTATTAAAAATAGTACAATAGGTCAAAATTGTTTTACGTCACCCAAGAAACCATCACGCCTTTTATCCCCGAAGGGGTAGGCAGAGGTGCACACAGAAGTAACACCCACTTTTCACTAATTATGTTATGAGTTTATGAGTCCCATGTCATAGAGGGTGAGCCTATTGCCATATACCGGGCACAATTCCAGACCCCATGCAGATTTTTTTTAAAACCTAGTAATATGTACATTGCCCGACCTGGGAATTGAACCCGAGACCCCTTGCCCGGTAGTCGCACTTGCGACCACTCGGCCAACGAGGCAGTCATAAATATTTTAACTGACTTTATTTTTATAAAGTTAATATTATTATGATTTACGTACATTAAACATGTTACATTAGAACGTCCTTCTGCCGATAAACAGTAAAATACGTGAAAATGAAACCTCAAGAGTGATTGTGCAAAGTTTACGCAATAGTTACTCGATAATGATGCCAAGGACTAAATCAATAAAATAATAATAATTATTATAATACTTATACGTGAACAAGTTAAACATTAGTGTTTGAAGTTTGAATAAATTGTTTAAATACTCTCGTGTTCAACAAATACGTTTTGATTAAATCTTTTGTGTCAATAGTTACGAAGCTTTCTTTTTTTTACTCGGAAATTAAAAAGTGTAAAATTACTTCTGTGAAGGTGTAGACATGTTTATATTGTGGACTATAACATTTATTAGATTTGAGATTGAGCCCATGCCACGTCTAAAATCTTTTAACTTTCTTGCAATGAAGATCTACATTTTCTATCAATTTTGAAAGCACTTTTGAAACCATTTATGACTTACAATGTAATAAAAAATATTAAACAATCATCAAAATAAACAGTACATGCAGTAATTAACTGCAAAAATATCCATTCTTTTTTAAAACGTTGCCTCACACTAGGACGTTCACATACACATGACACCCAGACCCGGAACAACAATTTGTGGATCATACAAAGAGTTGAGAATATCAATTAATATTCATGTAATTGTTCAACAAAAAATCTAAATATATCAGGGGGAGGCCTATGTTCAGCAGTGGACGTCCTGTGCCTGATATGATGATGATGACGATATCAATTACTTACATAACATAACATAACATCACTCATTTTATCCTCGAAGGGGTAGGCAGAGGTGCACACAGATGTAACACCCACTTATCACTATTTATGTTATGAGTCCCTTGTAATAGGGGTTAAGCCTATCGCCATATACCGGGCACATTTTCAGAGTCCGTGCTACTACTGAGATTTAAAAAAAACACAGTAATAGTTTGCCTGACCTGGGAATCGAACCCGAGACCCCTTGCCCGTCAGTCGCACTTGCGACCACTTGGCCAACGAGGCAGGCAGTAATTAATTTTAATGTAATTGTAATATCTGCATTATTCAATTTAATCAGTTTCAATTTATTCGATATAATGAAAGCAATGCATCTTAAAGAGCATCGGGGAACAATGATACGCCACTTTCACATTCTGATTTCACGCAGTAAGCTACGGTCGCAGTGACCACGGCATTACGACCACAGGTTACGTTCAATGGTTATTATTATGATGGCCGTTATCATCATTTATTTACGGGAACTAACGTTACAGAAAAAAGTGAACATTTTGCATAATCTTTGTGTTGAAGTGAAAGGATGTAGGTATATTTTGTTAAGGCTGTCTCTCTATTATCCACGTCAAACATCAACGAGCAAAATTTACAGTGAAACTAATTTAATGAACTAACAGTAAAAGTAATGAAAAGACAGTTTAAATATATACAAATTAATATTAACATCATAAATACAAATAACTAAAAAGTAAATTATATACACCTAAAAAAATAATAAAAAGTTACATAAAAAAAAATTGCTCATCGCTATCGTATGGTAGGGTGCCCAAAAGACTGGCAGCATTGCCACGTTCGATGGGAATGCTTAAGCTTTGCCCAAGGGAGCCAGCCTCTCGATCACCTGAAATGTCAACCATCCTCTTTACAATATCTTAGTAAAGAAGTACCATACCAGTTTAACATTTACAAAATTAAACATTATAAGTCAACCTAGCTCCTGACGCGCTAGTTTTGTAGCCATATCGAAGGCGTTTTTTAAGGCGGGACATCATCGAATGAGAACAAATTACGGCAAGAGACTGTTAACATTTCAAGGAGCAAAACTTTATAACTGAATGTCCACACAAAATGTACGCTCGTTTAATGCATTCAAAATGCAGTCACTTTGTTATTGCAAATGACAGGTAGAATTTGAATGCATTAGATGTATATTATAGTAACGACGAATTTGTAACTATTGTTTTATTCATCTACTGTTTCTTTAGTAAGTGTAATTTTGTATTTTTTTATTGAAAATAATAAAAATCTTTAAACAAATTACACTCCATTTGAGTGTGACTTAAAATTGTTAGAGCCTTGTAAAGAA